GGTGCTCCCTGGGGTTCCAACAGCTGCCAGTCTTTGGGCCCGCTTCCTGGCTCCTCAGCTCCCTCCTGTAAGGGTCGCAACTGCTCCTGGGCTGGAGCTTCCGCTGGGCATCCTCCTTCCCCAGCCCCTGATTCTGCAGGCTTTTATGCTTGGTTCCTGGTTGGAGCATGCCCAGCAGAGCTTCAGGGGCGTGGCTTTCTCTGTCAGCAGGGAAGGGTTAACACTCTCAGTCCCAGTGCAGGGCCAGTCCACCCCATCACAATGCCCAACACCATTTAAAAAAAATATCATAGGAAAAAGGATCTTTACAATTGACATACATTTACCACTATCCTTTCCAGACAGAACCGTCTGAACCTATTCTCAGAACAAAGTCAGAAAAATCTACAATCGTTTTTGCAAGGCTCTTGGGTTAGAAATTTAATAAAACCAATTTTTAAAAAATGTTGGTTTCCATTACTGAAATGTTAGCTAAAATTACCTGTCCCTTTAAAAGAATCAAAGATCTCAAAAATCTGTTGCCCATATATTTTATTAAGAAATGGCGTATGTTAAGTCTTTCTTGGTATGCTTTAAAACACACAAAAGAACAAAAGTACTTTGTAACCTTCTAAAATCATTAGCCCAGGAGCTACCCAGGTAACAGAAGCAGAGTGCAAAAATGTCGTGTGGCCTCCAAAACATTTTGCATGCACAAGAAGAAGAACTAAATGATTTACACACGCTGTGTACTGCAAGAAGCTCAAAAGAAATCTGACTTTGTCACACTGGAACATTGCCTTTTTTGTTTTGAGAGTCATCTGCAAACAGAATATGGTTTTCTTCATTGTTGAATAATTTCTGGTCTGTAGCTCACTCCTTAGCAATACATTACAATTATCAGATATTCTAAGGGCTTGGTCTACACATGGAGTTGTGAAAGTGGATTATGCTAAACTGCAAAAGGACACTGTAAATGGTTCCACTCACCACTGTAGTGGCCCCAGCATCAGATCATGGTATTACAGGGGTCTTCATCTCCAGCACCCCGCTGACCATTTCTTTTGCCCAGAAATGGACTGTCTGGCTACATCTTCCATGCCAGTCCTCTAGTCCGCTCACCTCTTTCCAGTTCTGTCCCCTACCAGGGTAACAAAAGTCCATCTAAAAAACCCCACACCAACATCCAAACAGAAGATCCTTCTGCCCCCCTCAGGCTATGTTAAAGTCCCCTGCTCTTAACCCCCACTCCCAGGCCCTGAAGAGCTCCCTCTTTGCTCCTTTGTCTGAGGCCCTTTCTTCCTAGCTTGTTTCCTCACAGCTTCCCCTCTCCTGGGACTCTGGCTTCCTCCCAGGGATTCTGTGCTTCTCACAGGAGCCTGACCTGCTCTTTGTGATCCTCTCAGGCCTGCCTTCAAAAGGCCCCTCCCAGAGAAAAAGAACTCCCTTTGCTCCTCTCTCCTGGGTCTCCTCCCTCACTGAGTTCTCTTCCCTCTCTCTGTGGTCCACCCTGACCCTTTCACAGCTGGGCTCACTAGTTGTAATTAAGTCACACTGTCAGGATCAGCTGGGGATAACTGCTATGCCACAGTCAAGGCTGAGCCTGTTTCCCTTAAAGGACTGATCAGCCAGCCTGTGACAGGGGCTTTTATTCTGGAATAAGAGCGTCTGCACATGGAGTGAAGTATCAGAGGGGTAGCCGTGTTAGTCTGAATCTGTAAAAAGCAACAGAGGGTCCTGTGCCACCTTTGAGACTAACAGAAGTATTGGGAGCATAAGCTTTCGTGGGTAAGAACCTCACTTCTTCAGATGCAAGTAATGGAAATCTCCAGAGGCAGGTATAAATCAGTGTGGAGATAACGAGGTTAGTTCAATCAAGGACTGTGAGGTGCTCTGCTAGCAGTTGAGGTGTGAACA